ATTTTCCAGAACAGAAATCGTTTGCATTTCTTATTACTTCTAACTGGTGTTTTTCCTTGGTTCCTAGAAACGTAATGTTGGGGGCATTCTTTTAATTATGTAGAGTGGAAAGATTGTCATGACGTGGTTGTAATACACTAATCACGAAAATTAAGGATAGAAAAACATGTCCTCCTCTACCACTGTAAATTGTTATAGTAGTTCCGATAACAGAACTTTATTGGCTTATTCTCTTCTGGAATTATATTTCAACAAATATCGTACAGACTATATTTGCAGGTAGAACAAGAGTTTTGCAACTATAACTAATTTTTTTAGATATAAAATTTGCTATTCTGTACAAATGCTTTTATCTCAAGTATTACTAATTATATTAATCAAGTAAAGAAAACTTTATGTAACCCTAAATATTGCTGGGTAATGATTACGATGTTTTTATAAACCATTAAATATATTAAAAGGATTTATCAACTGTATTTTTTATTCCAATAAATGTATCACAGCTTCCTAGTCTTTTTAAATTAATCTAATTTTTTAAAAACGTTACAAAAAATCATCGCTTGTGGATAATTTATTGTTGATAACAATGTACATGGATTTAGGAAAAATGTATATGTTTGAAATCAATTTCGTTTTTATCAAGTCTTTCAAATGTATTCCCTCCTTGCTGTCAGCTGATTGCGACGTTGCCACATTAATCCTCAAGTCAGACAGAAATGCAATTATTGGTTTCTGTTTCTAATTAATACAGCTGTACTATGTTCAAAACTTACATTATTTTGCATAAAAATAAGATAATACTGTGTACTATCTATGGAAAAGTTTTGTTTCACATTTTCTACATATTTTTTCTCAGTTATGGGCAAAAAAAGAGCCGCACCGTCCATCTTCGCTTCATATAAACCTATGTTAAAATGAACAATTTTCAACAACAATATCTCAAAATCTAGATTAAAAAAAAATTCAAAAAAATATGACGCACTGAGGGAGCACTGGGTAATACGCTATATAAACTTCAAGTACATCTGTGCATTTGAGTAAACCCGATATACCTCCTTAATTTTCATTATTGTATTAAATATTATCAATCCCTATTTGATTTTTATAAGACAAACAAGTATAAATTTGCATCGATAATAACTACCACAATTTTATTCATCTTTTTCGTGATATAATAATTATAATTGTTAATTGTTTCTACTAAGTGGTGTGCGTCAGTCTTAAATCCAATAAATAATTGTCTGTCACGGTTACAGGATACAGTTTTTAATTTTTATTCAGTTGATTGTTAAATATTCTCTGGGGTCACCTTCTGAAACGAAGTCGATGTATCTGAGCCACCCTGTATATAAATTAATTAAACGTAAATAACACGATTTTTAAAAAATTATTAAATATTACCGTTTGTCCTTCGAGTTTTTCTGCAATTTGCATCCTTATCTTATTTTAATTATCGTTCACGTGAATATGCAAAGAAGGAATCGGTAATCCTCGCGTCATTTGTTTGTTTTAGTGCAATGATTGTGTCGGGTTGTTTACTAACGCCGATTGTCAATTAATTACAGTCGGTATGTTAAAGAAATTCGCAATGAAGCTAAGTAAGGTCGTTGTCTGTAGGAGATATGAAATAGAGAGTGTGAAAACAGTGACCGCTGTACAGGTGAAATAGTGCCAAGACCAAGCGGAATTAACTTTACAAAGTCTTATTTGAAATGGCTTCCAGAGCAGTAATAGATCGCCCCCTCCCCACACAGGAATGACAATTTGTATTAGTTTTTTTTAATAACCAGAACGAGTGATTGATTAATCAGCATCATTATGTAAACATAATTTGTTTACAATAATATAAATAATTTTCCATAAATATAAACCAATTATATTCAATTATTCAGATATTTCAAACAAATTAAAAAACAGATGCCCCAACTAGTATTATATTACACCACCAATATCTGTAATATACACAAAATAGTTCAAACCCAAGAGACCCACAATATTATTTCTGAAGGATTTCGATGCTCTGTAGTCAAAATTCGTGACTTGCCGATAAATATCGGAGAAAAGTGGAATTTGAAAACGCCCAAATATGGGTCAAAAAAAAAATATATATATAGTTTACACAAATGAATTCAACACAAAAAATTGATGAATATAGTATAAGTTTGAAATTTCGAGCGTCTCATATGACAAAATGATAATATTAGGTCAGCCCACACCCACCCAGCTACGCTCATGAATTTACACATGATCTTCGATATTTCTCAGAAAATTCACTATTTGGGCGAAAACTGATTTTTTTCACAAATTTTATCGAAATATGTAACCATTTTAGTAGTATTTTTGACCGGTGTGAAGTTAGCAGCTAAAAGATAGCAGCCAAATTACCGAAAACACCCGAACGCCCATGGGCGTACATATCAAACGTATTTACGGAAATAATACAGATAAAAATAATAAACACCCCTTTTCACCCAAATAGTGAATTTTCTGAGAAATATCGAGGTCATGGATAAATTTTACTAATGGCATAGTGTTCAGCGCTTTAAAATACTACAAAAATTATATATTTAGAGACAATTTAGGAAAAAAAACAGTTTTGACCCATATTTAGGCCAGTTTTCATCCAAATAGTGGATTTTCTGAGAAATATCGAGGTCGTGGGTAAATTTTACTAATGGCATAGTGTACAGCGCTTGAAAATACTGCGAAAATGATATACAGTGCTTTCGAAAAGTAACGAATAAATTCATTATTTTTTAAATTGAGAAGATTTCGAAAAAAATCCCCTGGCACGTCGATTTTGTTTTGAAAAAAGGCACTTTTTGACATACGACCCATATTTGTGACGTTATCGTTGTTCGAGATATGACGTCATCAACAATTTTTTTAAATAACAACCCCCAATTTTGACCATGCCATTTGAAAGAGCGTGTCATTCTACATACACAGATCATGAAAAATTATGGTGTTACATAACAAAAATTTCAAGAAAATAATGTTTGAAGATTTTAAAATTTAATTTTCACAATACTGAAAATGATAATGATTATGTAAAAATCGACTAAATGGTGCACCTCCCCATTATGCAACACCTGTCCGTGCTTATTTAGATGAGCTGTTCCCGAATCGTTGGATAGGGAGAAGGGGGCCGATTGAGTGGCCAGCCAGATCGCCTGATTTGACACCCCTAGATTATTTCTTGTGGGGATACTTAAAAAGCAAAGTATACGTTACTAGACCGGTTAATTTAGAAGATTTAAAAGCAAGAATTCGTCACGAGATACATCGTATACCTCCTGAAGTTATTGATAATGTCCAAAAAGAATTTATTAATCGTCTTGGCTACTGTCAGGCAGCCAACGGTGCACAATTTGAACATTTAATTTAGTCGATTTTTACATAATCATTATCATTTTCAGTATTGTGAAAATTAAATTTTAAAATCTTCAAACATTATTTTCTTGAAATTTTTGTTATGTAACACCATAATTTTTCATGATCTGTGTATGTAGAATGACACGCTCTTTCAAATGGCATGGTCAAAATTGGGGGTTGCTATTTAAAAAAATTGTCGATGACGTCATATCTCGAACAACGATGACGTCACAAATATGGGTCGTATGTCAAAAAGTGCCTTTTTTAAAAACAAAATCGACGTGCCAGGGGATTTTTTCGAAAACTTCTCAATTTAAAAAATAATGAATTTATTCGTTACTTTTCGAAAGCACTGTACTTGGACAAAACTTGGGAAAAAATCAGTTTTGGGCGTTTTCAACCAAAAATGACCAAAATTCATCTGTAATTCATCATGAATTTTGTCTAGAAGATCATGTTCAGTGTATTGAATTTCTTGGGAAATAATATGTGGGTCTCTTGGGTGTAGACTTTTTTGAAGTACCTGTGCTATCCAAGATAAAATCTAAAAATTATGTGTTTGAATATAATTAACACAGAAACACATACTTGATATAATGAAATTGACAAACAATGTAATCACGTAAAAAACAACTACTCGTATATCATGTACCTAGTTTTCCGGTATCGAAGAACATTGCTTGACTTGATTTGATAAGATTTTTTTTGTAAACGTATTCTGCTTGCTCTCATACCTTGCTTTCCTTCTATTAAATTTGAAGTCACACTTCCAGTTTTTTAAAATTCACAATAACATCACTCTCACCCGTTTTTACCTCATTCTGCACAAATATTGATTAGTTAAATTCCAACACAGGGGCGGTAACTGTTTACCCGTTACCAATAACGACGACTTTTTGTGACTTGCTACTCCACAACCGACAGCGTTTGGGAAACGTCAAATATTATTTCAATTTTAAATCACATAAAAGATTCTGAAACTCTGAAACTTGAAAAAATTGTGTTAGTAGATCGTTATTTGTCTTTGTATCACGCTATACGTTTGTATTGTTTTAATTTCGACGTAAACAAACATTGATCATCGTAGCCATGGAAACATTTGACATCCGTCAACAGTCGCTAACGTGATTGACACATAATATTGCTCTAACCTACAACATAGATGCGACATATACAGGTTACTTTGTTATAGGCATAATTAGTGACAAAATCAAGGGAGTGACGCGGCAATTAAGCTTGTGCCATTACTACCTCACTTAAGCTTTTTTAAACGGGTATAATAATTTTAAATGTCAACTTTATTTAAACGACGATTAATTTTTCGTTAATTAAAGATGTTACGACATGTTTAAATTTAATTGCCGCTTCATAAAAACGTCGGCAGAAAACGAATTAGCAATAAACTTTATGCTTCCAAACTGCTCCACTTTCGGTACTGATATTTTATTATTGGAAGGATATATGTGTAGATGACTAGAACGAAAATCCAGACAGACAGAAACACCCCATAAGGATGAACCTTGAAAGACGTTCTCATTTACATTCAGATGCTATTTGTACCAACGGTCACATCATTAATCACACTTCTTGACAGCCACTCCACTTAAGTATCTGATATGTTGCAGGCCTCCAGAAATGGTGAGGCGACGTCTCCTCGATGTCGCGACGTCTGCCCTCTTCACAGCGCCGTTTGCCCCCACCCACCGATAGCAGCCACTATCAGGTAAGCCTTTAGCATAGTTGGGTGTGTCCGTCTTGGTTTGAGAATTGCCAACGTTTTGATAAGTTCTTCAGCTGGTTGAAAAGTTTTTAAGTTGAATTCAGTGTTCGAGTCATTTAAACCTTCGACATTTTATTAATTTTCTAATTGATAAAAATTTTGTAAACGACTAATTGAAAAGAACAGTATGTTGTTAAAGATGAAGTTTTTTTATTCATAAATTATAACTGCATTATTTGGAGAATAATTGTAAAATATATACTAGTCACAAAAATTAAAGGATAAAAAGAAAATCTTGAATTTTTAGATGATTTTCAAAAGTCAAAGTATCCCAAAGAAACCCTCAAATATTCAAACCGCTGCGATTCTTCCATTGTGATCCGAATTATTGAAAGTGTCACTTTTGTTAAAATTCATTTGAAGGATAAATTTTACATCTTTTATTCATTTTTCTAAATTGAAAATATTTTTTTGCAAAAATCCCCCATACGTTGTATGTCCCACAGTCCCTTTACCACGTTTACCAATATATCTGAGAAATTACCCCAGTTTCTGATAAAATATCCCAGTATGATGGAAGCAGAAGAAACAGTCTTTGAGATATGGTTGTTAGAGAATAACTTTGTGTCAAATAGTACACCTAAACCTTTAAAAGTGTCACACCTTTATCATAGTTTTATTCAATTTGTAGTTAAATATTGTAGGCGTAAGTTTCCCACGAAGGAAACAACTTTCCACTTATTCAAATTAAGCTCAAGATTATTATTACCTAAACACCAATTATCCTGAACGGTATCTCTATATCATCGAAAAGTAAATGTGGCACTGACAATTTAGCTGAGATATCATTTATAAATAAAAGGAAAAGCAAGGGTCCCAAATTGGATCCTTGGGGAACTCCCGGGTAGATATGTAAGTTTCAGTTTTAACACCACCATATTCTACAAGCTGACATCTATTTAATAAATACGACTCCATTAGTTTTAACAATGAATTTGATAAGCCTATCGATTTGAGGTTTGATAATAAGCGACAATTTTCGAGATATCGACCTGAGGAGTTTGAAAAGGAACACCCCATATACTTGTATTTGATTTTCGCGTTAAATATATTTTAAAAATTGTCAAATATTCACATTAGATATATTTACAAAAGAACTAGCACTGTACTATAGAAACAAATCACACCAACATTTCTATCACAACAGGCAAGAAAAAAAAGGTCAATATATCTGACAAAATGTTGGATTGGTCCCATTTTCTTTGGATTTTTTTAATAATTCAACTTGGATTATGAATTGAATTAATTTTACTTGAGACTTTCAATTAAAAAAAAAATACAGGGTGTTTCAGGAGGACATCCCGTAAATTCACGGGGTGATAGTACGACAAAAAATATAAATTTTTTGTCTTGTGAACTATATGTCTATCTCCTCTTGTTTTCGAGATATAGAGCGACATAATAAAATTTTTTAAATAGAATTTTTACGAAAATTTCCAAACGGTGCGAAATATTTTTATGAAATTTGGTATTCCGGGGTTTTTAAAGATTCCAAATAAGCTGGTCTAATTATTTTTTGGATATTTCATAGAGGGCGCTAGTTACGCTACATTTCTATTATATTTTAGGCTAATTTTTTTGATGTTAGCATAGTACAATTTTGTTTTCTAAAAATAATGTACTCTTGTTAGAACTTCCTAATGTGGACGGTTTTCGAGAAAAAGGCTATTAATTGAACTCTTACAATATTACGGTGTAGAAAATAAATAAGTGACTTTTCTCAAAGCAGGCTTATGTCAAAACTTATTGATGGATCTCTCATAAACAACGTATACATTCTCAGTAATATTTGAAACTCTAATTAACTTTATATCAAAATTTTAGTAACTGTAATTAGTCGTTACTAACTACAGTCACTAACAATCACCAAAATTTCAATATAAAGTTAATTAGAGTTTAAAATATTACTGAGAATGTATTTGTTGTTTATGAGACATCCATCAATAAGTTTTGACATAAGCGTACTTTGAGAAAAGTCACTTATTTTCATCACCGTAATATTGTAAGAGTTCAATTAAAAGCCTTTTTTCTCGAAAACTGTCCACATTAGGAAGTTCTAACAAGAGTACATTATTTTAAGAAAACAAAATTGTACATTAGAAATTGGAGCCCGAATGGTAAAAAACCTAACCTCAAAAAAATTAGAACCTAAAATGTAGTAGGAATGTAGCGTAACTAGCGCCCTCTATGAAATATGCAAAAAATAATTAGACCAGCGTATTTAGCGCCCTTAAAAACCCCGGAATACCAAATTTCATAAAAATATTTCGCACCGTTTGGAAATTTTCGTAAAAATTCTATTTAAAAATTTTTATTTTGTCGCTCTGTTTCTCGAAAACAAGAGGAGATATACATATAGTTCATACGACAAAAAATTCTTATTTTTTTGTCTTACTATCACCCCGTGAATTTACGAGAGGTCTTTTTGAAACACACTGTATAAAAGGCACTGATTGATCTGTGCTACTTTAGAATAAACCGTCACTGTTTGCACATACATATTAACTTTCAAGAAATAGGTTATTCCGGACCTGTACATTTCTCCTTTTGCGTCTTTTGAGTCGAGATCTCTTTGTCGGCTGCATTGAATAGACCCAACCTTGCGCACGTTATCCCGATTCTTATTAAATTTGCCGTACAATGCGCTTAATCGGGCACAATATCGGGATGAAGAACTCGTAACACCTGTGCCGGTAAATATTGAGTTGCAGGGGATGATTTAATTTTCCGGATTACACCAAGCTTTGAAGTCTACCGACTAGGGGGAACATATAAATAACATCCCGCTTATTGAGCAAATCCGTTTGAAGCTAGAAATAATTCGTAGGGCATTCAGAAAGTTGTTACGTAATTGTAGAATTTCACTTAATGAGGTGTTATTTCCTTTTAGTAAACTGTTTATTTATTAAACAAAATATACATACATACATATACAACTGGGGATGCCCAATAACCGGATATGTTAAGTCTGGTATTAAAATATGACAAAAAGAATAAAAAAGAGAAAGGAATTAAATATAGACATACAAATTTATAAATAAAGAAAATAACAAAAAAGTTAACAAGCAGTATGAGGCCGACATGGCTCCTTAAGTAATAACATTTTTTAAAAAACTGAAACCTTTATTTGAGAAGATAGATAGATTCGTTCTGATCTTTCACATAAACAAATAGTAGTTCTACATTGTAGTGAAATTTTCTGCCCCGATTGTAAAAATCCGTCGTGGGACAAAAGTGTCAACCCTTGTCACCTTGATAATGGGCTACGGTCATTTCGAGGCGAAGTAGGGCCTTCGTGTCAGTTAGATCCGGGCAAAAGGTGTTGGTGCGTGTTGATATAATAAAAAAAAGTAGTTCTCGGGTTCTCCTTCAGTTTGTCAAATGCACTGGGTGCGTTTGTACGAGGTTTTAGTTTGATTTTTTCTGTTTAGAGAAGAAAATTATCGTAATTTGTGTTTTTCTTTCCTAATATTTATATGGCTCCACATTTTCCGACATCGCACGCTATTTCCAAGGTAAATATGAATGTTTTTTTTTTTTTTTTTGAATATATTTACGTGCAGATGTTATACAATAGGGATTAGAAAAGGTCAAAAACACTTCATGCTACTGTTTATGAATACCATTTAGTTTTTTTGTTAGTAACGTTGTGAATAAATGGGATAAGTTTCAATTTAGAAAATATTTATCGGCGTAGGTATTCAAAAAAATTCTTATAACAATAGAAGAAGGCCTTGTGCTTCTACCAGCTAATTCCTTTCTTCCTGTATATAATTTGTTATTATTAAACTATAAATAGACCAATTTTGTTATTTAGCCGACCTTAGAACTTGAAAAAAATATTTTCATTTGCATTGAATAAGCTAATTGTCATCTAGAGGTCATTGTTTAAATGACTCAAGCGATGACGATATTAACGAAAATTGTTAAATGAAAATAACGTGAAGATCGTATCTTAAGTATATTTTGAGTCTCATTTTATTTAACATTGGGAATTGCGATAGTTTACATAAAAAACAAACATAGAATACAGACAAATTAGTTTTAAGATGATGATATTCGCGATTCGTAAATATTAATGTTAGAGATATCCTTACTGATACCTGAGATGTAACATTCCCAGATTGCTGAAGAAATATCCTGAAAATATTTAAATTGTTTGTGACAAATTATTTAGATGTCCTTATTTACGAAGCAAAATCTAGATCTGATATTTTAATTTTTTCTGCATTTCGATTCTGTCGTGTGTTAATCAGGACATATTTGTACTCTCTATTCCCATATTCAGACTTAAAATTCGCCGCTCTATCGATTGGTGATATAAAAAATTCGGTGTTCAATATATTTTCAAGCTGGTTTTGGTCTGACCTTCCAAATTAAGGTGAAGGTAAAATCTATGGTCACAATTGAATTTACCATTCAAAATCCTACGAATTTTGCTGGAAGCTTTTCCTCTGCAATTCGATTATGTCGAATTATTTAGAGAAAAATGAGTTTGACCCCCAAATTATCCGCAAGAACAAACCGGAAAAATCTTCTGACACCATTAGTCCAGCTCAAGAAACAAAAGTTATATAGTGCCAATAATTTTTAGCAAAAAGTACCTTATGAACATTTTTCGAAGTCAATATTTATTGAGTTATTGGTGATTGAAAATGTACATTTTTTATTGAAAAAAATACGTTTTTCAGTAGTTTTTCCCGAATAACTCAGAAAATGTATATTTTTTATTGAAAAAATACGTTTTTCAGTAGTTTTTCTCGAATAACTCAGAAAATAGACATTCTATGAAAAAAAAATATCACGAAGAAAATGAAACTTATAGAAAAGGAAAAAGATTTGAGTTTTTTTCATTTATGTAGGTGCAATAGGTGCTGAGATACGGCTGGCTGAAGATAATTTCATGTCCGCCAAAAACTGAATTGGAAGCATTTAACGTAAAATGACTAAATTGTATTTTTCAAAAAAAAATGCACAGAACATTTTTTGAAGTATTTTAAAAAATCTACAATGGACTTGACTTTAAGTCATTAGCATAAAAAGTAACAGAGTTATGATCAAAATAAAACTGTTAATTCGCTTTTTCGGAAAAAAATGTATTTTTCACGAGATTTAAAATTTAAGGTAATCTTTCCACAATTTACATTTTTTATGTGCTAACAATATACTTATACGCGGTTTAGAATGCATATTTTAAAAATAGTATGTTATGATTGAAAAAAAAAATCCAAAAAAATAACTAAAAATAAAACAAATACGAAAAATATCCACGAGTACAAAAGTTTAATTTTTTTTTTCACAGAATATTTTGTTTTTTTTTATTTGTGTAGGATAAAAATTAACAGAGATGTCGCTGCTAGAAGATTGCAGTTGAGGGCGAAGATTATGTTTTTCAAACCCTTTAACCTCAAAAATGACGCATTAAAAAATATTCTATTTTACAGTACTTTTAGTTGTCGACATTTTCCGTAAAATCGTTTTTGAATCGTCTTAATAGCTTTAAAATTAAGGAAGTTATCGTTAAAAAACCAAAAGTACCTTACCGCTTCAATTTTCGGAGCATATCAATATTTTGGTTATCCACAACTTTGGAGCATTCATAGGTATAGGAAAATTTGAAATTATGACTTTCTGCTTGAAAAAAATATTGAGAAATAATTATTTTGAATATTGCGTAAATCGCGAGAAACAGTTATTACAAAAAAAAATTTCTTTTGCATAATTTATTGGGTTATTATGTTTTGTCATTGGGGGTTTTTAAGGGTTAAAAAAATGCGATAAATTGTATTATCAACAGGTAAAACAATTTAATTTATCCTGTTTGTACTATCAAATCATTTGAAACTGTTAAAAACTATATTTTTTAAATATTTTGTTATCTATACTTGACCTTAGTTTGATCTTGAAAATTAAGATTGTCAAATACAAGGTCACCAGCATATTGCTTTCTTGGTATCCTACTTTCTTCACTATAATCCCAGACTTTTGTTGCTTCTGACGCTAAAATATAATGTCAGGTCAAAATAAACTTTAATTGTAACCATTTTTGAAAATTGTAACCTCTTGCACTTCTCTGTGTTTAAGAGTAATTTGTTCAAAACACACTAGAGATTCGTCCTACCAGGGTTTTTGCTGTATCATGATACAGTCTTGTAAAAAATGGGGTACATTTAAATTGTTGGCAGTGTTGTTAATAAGTATACTAAACAACAGTGGACTCGGCATTGATCCTTGTGGAACACCTGATAAAATTAATGTTGATTACAAAAAGAATAACAAAAAAGTAATCGATAGACAAAAAAATCCATAATTCTTTGTGAAAATATATAATTTGTTTGATTTTTATGCATTTTATGTAAGTATTTGTTGTGTAATTTCTTCCATTTTATATCCAGGCTGCTCTCGCTGCTCAAAGAGCCTACCCCCATCAGAACCCTAAATTGGGCCACCACCATCAGGACTACCAGCAGAGATGTCGTGGTCCGTACAGAAACGGGGTGTTGAAGCCGGCCACAACCATTGACATCGGTTTCAGCGATGAAACCACCGATACACAGAGCTACGACTACTACTATCAAGAGAACGGCTTCCAACACAGTCCTTTACGAGAATCGAGGAACACGGATGTTACTTTTTCTGACGACAGCGGTTCCACTAGACTCCCGTACTATGAATTCGACGACGAGTCCAATAAAAGGTATTTAGGGTTCAATTTTGGGCATTGTTTCTCGAAAATACCTTTTTGTCTTTTTCTTAGGTATTCTAGGAACACCTTCTCGGAGAGAAGTTCGACTAGACCCAAAATGGGACCGGATAAGAAGGTTAGGGGTCAAATTGTAATGAGTAAAGACCCAAGGAAAGTGTACCCGAATCAGGAGGGCCAGTGGGACCAGCTGTATCATGAAATACAGACACCGTAAGCACCGCTAAGCTTGCGAAATATTTTTCGTTTAGTTTCGTTTATTGGATTATTTTCAGCTTACTATGTTTCCAGGTGTGATAATGTACCTGCTTCTAGCGCCCCTAGAAGAATACCCACTAGGCTTTCTCACAGGTCGCACAGTACCATGAGTTCGGGTGTCACGAGCGCCATTGTGCACGGGTGCGGGGGTAAATGCCAAACCTTCGAAAACGTCTGCTATTTTTTTCTACAGGTGAGCAAATTCAATTATTTGTAAAAATTATTCAAAATATAGTCATTGATGTAGCTGAGAAAAAGCAAGGGATCTAAATATGTGCCTTGAGGCACACCACCTATTTTCTTCTAAGTTAAAGCAAAATACTTCATTTGTTACTTACAGTTAAAGAAAATTTTCAAAGAACCGCTGTTTTTAGCTCGTTTTTACGATGGGGATCCTCATAGGAGTGTCGCTGTGCATAGCCGGGATCGTCCTGAGGAAATCGGCGGCCCGGAATCTCCAGGTCCTGGTGTACATAGGCGTTCTCCTAGCCCTTGTCAGCGCCCTTTTGCTGGGAATACAATGCAACGCCAGGAACACCGCGAGGAAGAGAAAAAAAGCCATACTGATGGCCAAAAGGGCCCCCATTCAAATGGACACGCTCCACCTGAGGCAAAACCCGCTGCATCAGCAGCCCCTAATGGTCGCCAAGATGGGACCTAGCCAAAGGTGAGTAAGTCGAGAGGATTTAGATCTGGAATTCGAGCCAGCTATTACAGACGTGGTTTGGTGTTATATTCTTTTTTTTTTTTTAGGCCGGTTCAGCAGGTGCCACAAGTGCATGGGAGCCTTTCGCGTCCTCCGCCGCCCAGGCAACACAACCTGGAGGCTCCTCCGATGGTAGAGGAACAGGGGATCCCCTGGTGGCGAAGAAAAGACCTCAATACTCAGTAGAGACAATTTTTTTTAATTATGCCTGTAAATACGAACCAGTTTAACTTTGAACAAGACTGAATGCAGAATTGAGTAAAGCGGCACGAAAGGTAAAATGTCAATTTTTATTAACGTTGTCTTGCCATTACAGCCTTAAAAATTGTAAACGTTTCCTGCTACCTCAAATGTAAGGATTGACGCCTTTTCTAGTCTAGACCTTTATTCTTGCATCGATTCGCAGAAACGTAATATATTTTCGTATAAATTTTCACGGAATTCGACATACTTTCATGGTACTACCGCTTTCTATGTCTAACAATGTATATTGTTATGTATAAAGTGATATATAAGAATATATTTATAAGTAATGTGGTTACTTGATTACAAATCCTTTCAAATTTCCTACAAACCTAGCGCCTGGGTGGGGAAGGGGCGCCGTATTATCATTTCGTAGGCTAGATTTTGAAATTGTCCTAGAAGGATATTTTGGTAGGTTCCAATCGTTACCCCAAAAAAATGCGTTTTGTCCAGTCTTTTGACCTTGTAACTCTCAAAGGGCAAGTGACTGAGTCACTGATGTGGTTGAAAAGAATGAGAGCCCCTAAAGTGTGCCTCGAGGCACCTTAAAATATCAAGGGCCCTGCATATGTGCCTTGGGACACTATAACTCTTTATTGTCTTAGTTTTCAGAAATATTTTACGACATATCTATATTTTCTTCAGTTCGGTGAAAATAATCCTTTAAATTCATTATTCCCTTAAAAATTATGAAAGTAAAATTAATGGTAATGATCTTAATCTCTATTTGTAAAACATAGTGTTAGTTTCTGATTGCTAAATTTGTGAAATTGGTTGGCTGTGTGAGTTATTGATATGGATGTAAAGAAATGGGAGCCCCAAAAATGTGCCTCGAGGCACCTTAAAATTTCAGAGGTTTTACAAGTATGTGCCTTGGGATACAATAAAACTGATTTATTTGTCTCGGTCCTAGCAATATTCTGTAACAACATATACAGTATGTTCATGGTTAGAGTGGAAAAAAGGGAAAATATTTTTATTTTTCATTTTACGAGAAAAATGCATTATTGATTAAAATTTTTGCTCGTCTTTAAAATGCGGTTGGCATGGAGATCTTTCATCTTGCACGTACAGGGTGATCAGAAAATCGGTAAATATAAAAATCGTTCAAGAATAAACTGCCTTTTTGCTCATCATTCAAATATAATTGGCATGAAGAACTTTATTTAGTAATTTTGCCAAAACATTGTATTAAATAAATTTTTTGCTGCAATGTAAGCATTAGGGTGGTCCAAAAAAATTAATTTTTTTTTTCGTCTTGTGAAAATATGTTAGCTTATCATGTTTTAAGAGCCCCCTCAAAAAAACAGCTCAAAAANATTTCCAAAATCGTCAGAAATTGAATTTTTAAAAAAAAAATTTCTCGTTATCTTTATCGTTTTTCTCGACCTCTAAAAATAAAAAATATCAATGAACTAATATTTTTTTTTTATTGAATTTGATGAACAAAAGAATAGAAATAAATCACGACACTTAAATTTTAAAAAATTAAAAAATTATAAATATTTGATACTCGCATTGCGGTAGTAAATTTTGCCTCGAGAAATTTTTTAAGTGTCTTGTGATTTATTTTTATTCTTTTGTTCATGAAATTCAATAAAAAAAATTATTAGTTCGTTGATATTTATTTTTAGAGGTCACTCGAAAACATTTTAGGTACATTACTTTTAAAGTTAAAATAATTATGAGCGACCTTTAGAAATTAAAATATCGATTTGAAATTTTCAGAATCAATATTTTTTTCAACCTAGAAAATGATCAAATAACGAGAAAAAAAATTAAAAAAGATTGAATTTTCGACGATTTCGGAAATTTTTAAAAATCGTGAGCGACCTCTAAACAATTTTTTTTGAGCTGATTTTTTAAGATGGCTTTTAAAACATGATAAACTAACATATTTTCACAAGACATGAAAAAAAAATATTCGTATTTTTTGGGCCACCCTAGGGCCCACGAAAAAGTTAAGGGGGTTCCACGCCAAAAAACGTAGCACTATCAGATTCCACATGTTATAAAACCCCTGTGTACCAAATTTAGTGATTCTTGTACAACCGGATTCTGATATAAAAAAAGACTATTTTTAGGGGCGGATTTCAGGGGTCTATAACTCGAAAAGAGGGGGGGGGGGGCACTTGACAAAAATAAAAAATACGGGTCTCCTAAATTTGTCTGAAGAATCTGCAACCAAATGTTGTTCCATTAATTTCAAGACACCCTGCTTGTGCCTCGGGGCACTATAAAACTGTTGTATTTTCATAGTTCTCAGAAATAGTTCACGACATACACTTTCCTTTCATAAAAGTTTTGAAACTAAAATTAATGGTAATGAAACTAATCTCAATCCACAAAAAAAATAACCTTGTTCATTCTTGTTGTTTGCTTTTATGTAATTCTCGATCTCCATCAGTTCAGTGACAATGTATTTCCTTCTCGTGACGATACGACGCAAAACAGTTGGTTCGTTCGTCGGTTGTCTCACATATGACACACCGATGAGGACTAATAGGTCCGAAACCGGTCTGTGCCTGGTGGGTTAAACTGACGAACGACCCTAGCTGTTGCACTAGGTGTTATGAGTATAATTCAATGCCGGTAGGGGCATATAGCCCTCGGAGTAGTTGTTTCTCGCAACAATGACAATTTAAACATTGTCTTCGCCCTCTGTGGATGGCAGTCGTACAACAGGTACCTGCAATATAGCAGGTCGCTTCCTACTGTAGCCGTTTGAATGGCACAGTGGGGAGTCAGCATGTCGAATGGAGCCATTTGCTCTCCTGCGTACGAAAATGATCTTTATTTTCTTCAAAAAATGTGGAACAAATTAATGGTAATGATCCTAATACCCATAAAAAATAGTTTTATTGTTTCTTTTTTATTGCTAAATTTATGTAGCTCCCAGTTGGCTGTGGGTCAACGATGCGGATTTAAAAATTTGGGAGCCCCAAAAGTGTGCCTTGAGGCACCTTAAAGTTCCAGAAGCCTTGCAACGCACAAACTTTTATACTTTCAGTGAAAAAAAACAAAGAAATTGTTAATTTATAATTTAATGCTCTTGTTACAAAAAATATAAATCAATAGAATAAGTCAATGCATAAATATAAAATATGGATAATAATTACATACGATTTTATCAATTCTTTGCACTTTTTTTGACATTTCGGACTTAAATTAACAAAGATTGAGATGTGACTACTCTGTGACGAATTCAAACGCAATTTGATTATTCCACGGAGGATTTCGTGCTAATTCGAGTATCTTTATCGATTTAAGCCCGTAAATACTGGATATCTAATAAATATAGATAAAAAAATAAATAAGTAACTGAGTCACAGTCACAACCGGTGTCTCCCCTATAAAAATTTCCTACCGCAAACCGCAGGTTCCGAAAAGGCGCCAGCGGCTCAGTCTAACCTACAATTTTGACCAGGACGCGAACTCTGCACTATAATGGAGGGAATCAATGGAAATAAAAAAATAGTTTGAGATTCGACTTTCAGTACGGCGATTCATTGTGGTCCATCGTTACGGCACCAAAAGAGGTTCACCTCGAAGAGATGCTTAACTCCTAACCTAGATTTACAAACGAGTCCTAAAAACTAAAAAACATCAAAAGTTAGCGTAACAAATACAGTGCGTTAAATTGCAATAATCTCCTTGTTTGGCAATCGTTTCTTAATGTTTACCACAAATTACGTTCTCAACTGAATGATTTAAGAGTCCTTAAAAACTAGTCGATTTTTTTTGTTCCTAAACGTTGATCTCGTTAGCATAACTACGACCAGCGTAATTACTTAAGAAAATAGACTTTTCGAAATATTGGGAACGTTCTCGCTTAAATTGTGATAAATCTTGCAGTCGTTATTAGGAAATACCGCCGAAAATTGACTTTATAGAAATGCCCGATCGACTTCCCAGTCGCGTTTAAATTGGAAAAAATAAATTCCTATACAAGCAGGAAGCATGTAGTCCCTTAATTAGAATTTCACAGCAGGTTACTTAGATTAAGTGATATATTTGAAATTGTTGCCCGAACACCAGCGTAAAACGAAAAAGTGCCGCCCTTTACCGTATTCTCGAACCCACTAGCCCCGACGCGGATCCCCGAGGTTCACTTTTTCGAATCACGCCCAGAATTTTTTTTTATAGATATTACAGCCTCGATTCAGTATTTCAACAACAAAGATAAATTAGGTGTGTGAAGTCTTTAAATTACAAAGTTAAAGTTGTCTTTACCTTAAGTACCACACGGTTCGTGTAGTTAAGTACTGATAAAGGTACTCGCGGGCGGTTTTTAGGTTTCTTCGTGAGCGGGAGGGTTCAGAGGACGTAAAACGATTCTCGGGTCGCTCTCGACCATACGGTCCGTATCTTCGTTACTGAAAAAAATTAAAAAATTAGGTTCTTCCCGAGAAAATTCGTAGGTTCTTACGTAAGCTCCTTGTTTTCCTGGGGCATGAGCTTGCTCTGTTCCGTGTCCTCCTGTTGAGCCGGCTGGTAAGCCACTTCGGATACGGGGGCGTACTGCGCTGCTACCAGCAGATCCGTAGACGGATTGACTGTGAGCGCCTGACCGCCCGACGTGCCCATGTGGTCTTTTGCGTTTCTCCAACACATCCTCCTGGTTAGACGCAGGAAGAACACTTTGAAAGGACAAGGTACGGTATTAAAGATCTGCAGGTTTTCATTACTGGCGCTAGCGCCATCTACTGGTGAATATAGCGAGTAAAGTGGATTCATAATTCAGGAGAGGTCTAACATTTGCCGCATTTAGATTTTGGAGATAAAATTTCTAGATCGGTCAAGTACCGCAGCGTTTAACGTTATAAAAATACGGTGGAGATTCAAACTTATATATCAAGGTTGATAATAATTAATTTGCCCCAAAATGATGGATGGTTGCGGTACTTCATCAATTTTGGGACTTTATTTAAGGATAAAGTCCCTAGGTCGACCAATTGTTGTCATTTTCTCCAAAAAGGTGGTTTGACTTGTCAGTTTGTGCTATTTACATAATATATAAAAAAAATGATCAAAGTTCTATTGTATAAAGTTTCTAGATCATCCAAGTATTACAGCCTTTTCGTCATAAAAATATGGTGAAAATTCAAACATATATCAAGTATGATAATAATTAATTTGCCCCAAAATGGTGGGTGGTTGCGGTACTTTATGAATCTCGGGGCTTTATTAAAGGATAAAGTCCCTAGATCGACCAATTGTTGTCATTTTCTCCAAAAAGGTGGTTTGACTTGTTAGTTTGTACTATTTCCATATATTAAAAAATTATCAAAAGACCATATAAAGTTTCTAAATCGACCAAGAAATATGGTGAAGATCCAAACTTATATATCAAGGTTGATAATAATTAATTTGCCCCAAAATGGTGGATAGTTGCGGTACTTTATCAATTGCTTTATTTAATGATAAAGTTGTTGATTTGCTCCAAAACTCCTTGACTTTTCAGTTTGTGCTATTTACATATAAATTTGCCTCAAAACGATGGACGGTTGCGGTACTTTATCAATCTTGGGACTTTATTTAAGGATAAAGTCCCTAGATCGATAATACCACGACCAATTCTTGTTATTTGCTCCAAAAAGGTGGTTTGTGCTATTTGGATACATTAAAAACTGAAAAAATTCTAATGCAGTTTGAAAAAAAACTCTAAAATAAGTGAAAATTGATTGTATAAAAATAAATTAAAAATTCAAACTTGTTTTAAGATCGGCAATACAACTTTTGCCTCAAAAAAGCAGTTTATGGCACTTTATCAATATCTAGTGACTTTATCCAAGGTAACGGTACTGCAACTGGTTCTGGTTTGCCCCAAAAAGGTGTTTTGACGTGCATTAATTTGTGACACTTATATTAAAAAAGTTTATTTATTGCAGTATTTTAGATGAAAATTTTGAATTATTGCATAATAAACTCTTCAAAATATGTGAAAATTAGTGGTATAAACATATTGAAAATTCATGCATATGTTTCAAGTCAGCAATAGGGTTTTACCCCAAAATGGCAGTTGCTTACGGTACTTTATCAATAAACAGGGACTTTACTTTGGATAAAGTCCCTAAATATTGATAAAGTATCACAATTAACTGCCATTTTGGGGCAAAACCCTATTACTGATTGTACTATACTACTATACTTATATATGAATTTTCAATACGTTTTTATAACATTTAACAGCTATTTTGGGCAAAACAATAACATCAATTGAAGTACTTTATCAATCTAGGGACTTTAATCTAAAAAGTCTGCCAGCTTGCCAAATTACTGCAACCAGTCACTGATTTGGGGCAAAATCATAAATAAAAAATATAATTTTAATATGTACATGCATGAAGAAAAACACTAAATATTATTAGAACTTGTATTATTTTATATAGCAGCTAAATTTAAAACATAATTAATTGCCAATATGCTGTGGAAACTAAGTACCACAAACAATCAATTAATCTAGGGACTTTAATCCAGAGTAAAGTCCTTAAACTGATGAAGTACCACAACCATTGTTCTCATTTCCTCCAAAATAGTGACAAATGTCACTTTATTTTTGACAATTCTAAATATTCCACTGATTGTATTAATTGCTACTTAAACGTTTCTAAATTTAACTGATATTAGTGCTATTTATATAAAAAAAACTATCAAAAATCAATTGTATACTATCTTAGATTAAAATGGGGTGGGAAAATTTTTTATAATTCAAGATTGCCAATAGGGATTTTTCCCCAACATGGCGGGTGATTGAGGTACTTTATCAATCTAGTGACTTTAATCTAAGGCACTCATTAGCGCCATCTACCGGTAAATTTGGTGAGTAAAGAATATTCATAATTCAGTGGGAATCTAACAGATGGCGTAGTCAAATTTTTGAGGAATTCCACAGCAAACTCGGTGAATATGAAAAAAAATTAGATATGCAGAGTAACTGAAAGTATTTTAAAAAAAATGCAATAAACAGTTTTATTAAGTACCTGTTGATAAAACTGTAATAAAACATGATATATGGGGACAACAAAAGGCTATAATGCAGAATAAATTATCTGTTTATTAATCAGTTTATGCCCTGTGAAGGCTTATTGGTGCATTAAGCTTATACACACAGAAGTAATTTCAGTAATAACACTGATTGTGACCTTCGGTTTATTTATAGCATAAGATAATGAACCATATACCACTTTTGCTTAAATATTTAGTTTACCGGCTTTATTGTGGCATTCTCCGGATAAGAATGTCTTTGTTTATAAATATTTACTATAGGAGGTTAATTTCATCCACCAATCAATATCTGTTATACTTTAAAAGACTGCAAAGGCGTAGGTACTTACCAAACAGCAATATGGACAGCGCAAAAAGTATCGCTCCGATTATGGTTACCACCAGATAGAAATCCTCATTGCTTTCCGGGTTCTCGGAATACCCTAGGGCCCCATGTATCAGCATAACCAATCTAAAAGGAGAATTAAGTTACCCGCTATATCTTTCTACGTGCGAAATAATAGTATTTACCCTAAGGAAAAGGAAGCCACACAAGTCGAAATCAATATAATCGGAAGTATGCTCCTGGATGGCAGGCAGTCCAAGCCGCAGGGCCTTCTCGCTGTCTGTGTGACTGTGGAGGCCAGGTAGCTTATGGGTCTGTCTTGCCATCTGTCCTGGGTCCCGTTGGACTCGTATGTCACAGTTGTTGGTTGGTACACTGCTCCCGACATTTTTCTGTCCAATAACTGGATATGTAGGCGTTTAAATAATACAAAATGAATCACTAAGTAAACTAGGCTGATGATAAATTCAGTGTTCTCGAACGAAGTTAGGTTATGTTTTGAAACAAATAAATGTCAGTTTAGTTGTAAACTGGGCTTGTTTGCTTTGAAGATAAGATTCGAACAAACAAAACGAACAGAAACTCACCTTTTCAGTTGCCCCGGAGCACAATAACTATATTTTTATTTGGATATTGTGGATGATTCCGTATCTTATTGATTTTTTCCACTTTTTATCTACCTTTAACTCGTCGTTCTACCATTTAGACATGGGACTATGAGTTCACGCACGCATACGTACGATTCAAGGTTTCGAATTGTGGTGGAAACAGTTTGGATGTAAGGATGTAGTTTGGCTTCAAGCTTCCGCTCTTCGATACTTCCATACAGGTAGTGCTGCATTGGTAATTTTTGTAAGCAACTGTCTGCGTACATGGGCGTAACATGCGCTGGGGTCGAGCGACCGGCAGAAATAATTAATTTCAACGATTGGTTCAATAATTGCGTCATATTACTAAGCAGAATTATTTGTGGAAGATCCGGTATTTATTTAATTGGAAAACCTTACAAAATTTTTTCTACGTCCTTATTTTCAATGTGCTGAACTCGAATCTGATGTTACTTTTGCGCAGTCGAATCCAGTTTCCGAAAAAAAAATAATTAAACTGTAACCTGTACAAACCATGCAATTCTAATAGATCTCCAATAGATCTAATAATTCTTTCTTGGAAAATAAATTTTCAGAAATTTAAAGGCAAAATATCTTATATAGCGCGTCCCACTAGTGCGGGAAAGTCCAATATCTATGTTAAAATGAGGAATATATGGATTTTTCTTTTTACCGTGTTGCCACATTTCTCGGAATGTACAAATTAAAAATATATTCACCTATACAGGGTGTTCCACTTTTCCTGGCCAGACACCAACTTTGGTTTTTTAAATGGAAACACACATTTTTTATATTTTTTTCGGATTCTACATTAAAAATAAGGGGTACTTTGTGTAGAATTGTTCTATTTAAATATTCACAGTTTTTGAGATATCTCGCTTGAAAGGTTTTTCTAGTCGATATTGGCTGCTTACATTTTCTGATACTGACGGGTTATACTAATAACTACTAAGCCCATTTTTTATCAGGTGTTTAGTAAGGATGACTCTTCCGAATCATGCTCCAAAAACTAGCCTGCGTTATACAGGGTGACCAAAATATCATGTCAAAATTGCCAATTGAAAAATTGAAAAAACTCCAATTTTTTAAATGGAACACCCTGTATATTTTCATACCATGAGATGCAGAATTAAATTCTCTACAACTTTGCTACACCTACTCCTATACCAAAATTCATTAGTTTTTCACGAAATCTCATTTCTATGAAAAAATGCGAAGTTTACAAATAGCTTATATGTAAAATAACGTAGTAGGCTCCTGTCAAAGGATAATCTGGAAAATTTTCGATTGACATAAGGTTTAATAGAAAAGCGACAATTGTGAAATGAATTAGTGGGTCACGCTGTATAATGTATTTATAATTATGTCTTGGTATTCTGTCCGCCATTTCCATTTATACAAGTGAAATATTTCTATAAATGTCAAAAGTTATAAAAATTAGACATTAAAATAATGTACAGGGTGTCCGCGAAGGGTTGGGAAATCTCGAAGCTGGATATACTGACCAAAATAAATTGATTGAGCTAAATATGCCTTCTGCAAATATTACTGGTTTCAAAGACACACAGGGCGTTCAATGTTTGAATTATATTTTGAAATTTCTCAACAATTTTAAAAACACACACACATGTTCAAGCAACAACTTGCACTTTTTCCCCGCCATCACATTTTAAAAAGAAAAAAAATCTAGGGAAAACTTTAGGTTTTTATAAATCAGGAAGTGCTTATAGTCTGTACGCCACTGACCGAGATGACTCACCGAGGACAGTTACCCAAGATCAAAGCTATCTAGTACCGCTTAAAGCTATATAACGAAAGTTACTGAGCAATCTATTTAAGTAGGATTAAATTATGGAATTAGCTTGACGTCACCTGACAATTACACAACGATTGGCAATTTTAAACAGTAATATTCCGTTAAAAAATACAAGTTTGTAGGTATATAGTTGTTCTCTGCGAGAAACAAAAGATCAGCTTTGCGCCTGAGCCTGAGGCGGTTGTAAGTTGCTAGCTGCTTAATATGCCGTCCGGAGCCATCTGCGGAGATAAAATAAAAGTAAGTCAAATACTGGATTTCCTTGAAACCATAGAAAGTTGAAGTTTCAACCGTCTACCTACCGTACAGAACTGGATCACTATTCTGTGTTCGTTATATGACTGCTAGTTTTCTTGATAGTTGGCCTTTTACGAGAACCGAGTTCTTGGAAAAATCAAGCATCATACTTCTTTGGAACCACTTTTATTGTTATTTAAACCTCAAAATAATCTTTAAAAACATTTGAAAATTATATTAAGAATTTTCACTGTAATTGAGTATCCTCGAGCAGAGATAAAAGAAATTTTTCAGCCTGCAAACTACAGAAGAAACTTAATTAAGATATTAATGAAAGAAAAATGATAATAAAAAAATCAGAGCATTCTAAACACAAAAACGTCCAAAGAATAGATTTTTTGAGGACATAATAGACAGGTAGAGAGTATAAAATATAGGACAGCTTTGAAAACAAAAGCCATATATGTAATACTACTACTAGTATTATATATATGACAAAAGCGATATTCAGTACAGTGTTGCCAGATCCCTAGATTTCCCTAAAAATTTTCCTAAATTTATAAAACTTATTAGTTTATCCTAAATTTCTTATTAAAAAAATTGCCGAAGTTAAACATATTACGAAATTTTGCAATAAAATAGATTGAACAAAAAAATATGTCATATTAATATACAGGGTGTATTTAAAGTGTCTGTACAAAAAATCACATTTTCAACTTAACCAAAAAAATAAAACTGGTTTACTTTTTGTTTATATTATTAACAAAATGAAATTTATTGTTTAATTTTGTTTTTCATACACTTTTTTGTACAAAAGTCGCAAATTATATATGAAATTCATTAAACCTGATAAAAGTTTATCCCATTACAACAATTTAGGGTAATTATTTACTATAGTGGCACCCTCTCCAATGTTCACAAAACTTTGTCTACCCCCCTATTTTCGATGGTGCTGAACACGAATCTGAAGTTTTTTTTGTGCGGTCGAACCTAGTTTTTGAGAAAAAAATTTTCAAAATTCTAACCTGGATATTTCAGATGACACTACTGTATATTTTATGTAGCTTTCAGAACACCTGTTATGAACAATTAACACTGCTCACGAAACACATTTTCGCAAATTTCAAGTAAAAAATATGTATTTAATGGATACAAATTTTGTTTTTTGAATCCGCCATTTGTAATTCGTGATGACAACATTGAGTTCCCCCACTCTCATTCATCTCTGTTCATCCCACATAAAGTTGCTATAATTTTATTTATTAAATACATACATATTTTTTTTAGTTCAAATTTGGGAAAACGTGTTTCTTAAACAATGTTGATTGTTTANTTTTATTTACCTATTAAATATATATTTTTTTAGTTCAAAATTGGGAAAATGTCTTAAATAATGTTGATTGTTTATTACAGATATTTTGAAAGTTACATAAAATATACAGAGTTATACGTAGTGTTATCTGAAATGTCCAGGTTAGAATTTTGAAATTTTTTTTTCTCGAAAACTGAGTTCGACCGCACAAAACAAACTTCAGATTCGTGTTCAAACACCATCGAAAATAGCGGGGTGGACAAAATTTTGTGAAAATTTTAGAGGGTGCCACAATAGTAAATATTTACCCAATTTAGGTATTTAATTCCAAATTTATTCTATTTCGATTGTATATTAAATTGTAGAGAATAGTGGCTAGCTTATTTTGTTAATTTATGGTTGGCAATATTGAAAGCGGCCAGATTTTGACCCAACATTATTCAGAATAACAGATTGCTGAGATCTTGGGTAAATAAAGCCGACTGTAGTTGACTAATATTCTCCTAGATGGCATGTAACGCTGTAAATCTGAGTTTTTAACTCCTCAAAAATTATTTTATTAAAGTATTATGCTTTTGTAAGGTTTTAAAGATTCGGAGTTAGGTATGTAAGTGAACGAAATAGATTAATGTAATAATAATTATAAATAAAACCAAGGTTAGTAATTATTTTATATTAAAAAAATACACATAACAATTACAATAACAATGTTACTAACATTCTTCTATGTATTAACAAGTAGCTAGGTACTATGTGTAACGATCTATAAAAAAGTTTACTAATTTTTTTAATGTGGCAATAGATAATAATTCCGCAGTCGAATTATTTTGTCCTTGCCAAATTCGTACATGCTAATATAATAACAATAATAATGATGATAATTATCACACTGTGCTGCGCGTTGAAAATGTTAGTTGAAACAGGTATATTAGAGAAATTATAAAATTTTTACAGAACAACAATTTTTGTACTAAGATAGGCTTAGGTGTAAGGTGCATGTTTTGGTAAATCTGTAGAAAAATCTATCAACTACGATGATACTAATACTTTGATACTTATATGGCAAAATACTTTTGCTAGTTGCGCGTTTTCAGCTAATGGGGTTTGATTATAAACTAAATTTGCCATAGTTGCATTTAAATTGAATCAAATACACTATAAAATTACATTTTTTTTTCTGAATATCAGTTTAGTATTCTTTTGGAAAAAGTTGCGAATTTGCGTTATTTTTTCCTTTACATTCTAAGGTACAATAATGCAGCTGCTGAGAAGACGTAGAGGATATAATTCAGGTAGAAACTATGCGCAGAATTTTCGTTACAAATATCGTTTACGTTACAGTTTTTCACGAGGCCTTGGTACTTCTGTTGGACCATGGACCAACTGCATAGGCCCACGGAACATTCTGGAAGTTCCACAGGAACTTCATTGAGAAAGAACATGACTTTGTACTCGTTATCTCTGCATCTAAAACAAAAAAGGGAATTTTTACTTCATTTCAAACTCGGGAATCTTCTTCTTAAGAAGGGGATTTGAAGTACTTGAAAATGTAGACCTATTTTCAAGAGTAGTTTTCATCGCCAGTATACAGGATCGGAAAGTCCCCATGGTTCATCGGCTGTTACGTGAGAACGATAAACACCGTGCGATAGAGAAGGATGGCTATAATGAAGGTGTGCTGCCCTCTGTTAACGGACTGTATTAACATATCGGAATAAGAAGTCGGAATTGTATAAGTAATGAAATCTATTACAGAAAAGGCAAACGACGAAAACAAAGATGACCACCGGTCGCTGAATTACAAGTGGAAGTGGATCTTATTTGCGGAAGGGCGAAATGGGCGGTGACTATGAGACACCTTCATTATAGCCATCCTTTTCTATCACATGGATGTTTATGACTTACTTTATCGCTCTCAAGTAACGGCCGATGAACCATGGGGACTTTCCGACCATGTATGTTGTATGTGATGTTAGGTAAAATATTGGAATAGCTACAAATTTGAAATCTAATAATGCCCTAGGAAATAAAATATAAGCATTTATATCCGGTACATACTGTCAAATTGAAAACATGTCATTCCCCAAGTTAGATAACCAGAAACAAATTCTGAAAAAAATGTTGTCCAATATAATACCAAAAGCCTAAAAACTAAGCGCAAAGTTAATTTCTGACAAGGTTTATTACCGCACTATCCAATATCAAACTTTCGCATTTATCTGAAAGTTGGCGCCCCTACGACTTTTTCAAGTGTTTCAAGTTCCTAAATATTGATAATACTCCAGTCGAAGTAGAGTTTGATCATGAAAAAATTATTACTAGATATTTTATTGAATTTTGTGACGGAGAAAGGTGTGTAGAATGATAATATCAAAAAAGTACCTAACTTGAAAGAAGTGACGCTAAGTTGGCAAATTGCAAATAAATAAGTAAAAAATTTGTTATTTCATGTTGTAGCCATTTAAATTAGCTACAATTTAAGGTAGTACCTAGAGTCATTTTTCACTAATTTGTTAACTGTAAAATAAAGACAGAACACGGAAAACTTAGCTTTCGAAAATTGCGCATTATTATTAGAAAAAGCGATGGATGTTGCCAAAAGCCGATTCGATTGACCGTGAAATTGTTAATTAATTTCGTTCGTTTTTTGAAACTAATTGTTTATTAAACGTTGATTTTAGATCTTAATATCGTAAACATAAGTTCTAATTGACACAAAGAAACGTATCGAAAAAGAAATATTTCAATAAGTTAAAATTAAGTGGCCCTTTACAAAGGATATGCAAAACAGCGTTATAAACAAATTTTCCAAGGTCAAGTAAAAGCCGCTCGGGAATCTGCTCTTTTTGCATCAAATAGAGCTTATTTTTATGACGTTAATTGTTAATTTACTATTGGACGTATCGGACTGGGATTTTAGAGACAATAATTGAACAATTGAACGTCGCTCTCGTCGCGGAGAGACTATTGCTTTAACGTTTCAAATTCAAATTCAGTTAAAAAATCTCGCGCACAACCGAGGGCGACGCTCACGCGCGTGCGCGGGCTCAGCGCTCATTCTCCCGCGTACAGGCCGTTCATTAACGTTAACTTTTACTGCTGCTAGCGTGTTTATTACAAGAACTATCAGTGTATGTTATTGTCTCTAAAATCCCGGTCAAAATTATGCAAGAATACGTACTGATATAGTACAGCTGCCAAGTTTGCGCCAAACGGGCTCAACTCAGAGGTCTTCCAATTCCTCCTGTTCCTGTCCGCTGGCAATGGGGCATAGTCCCTTCCAATACCCATCGCTGTCAACACGTTCAACAGCGTCGAGGCTTTGGTGAAGAAGAACGTTGCCTTGTTGCCGCTCGTATCACCTGTAATTATAACAATGCGATGCAACATGTCGCATGAACATTTCGTACCGCTCTTACCATTTACAGTTTTTTCAAACCTCTCGTAAAAGTCTTTCACGGGGGAACAACCGATTTTTTCGCTCATTTTGTTGCCGTACCCGCTTTTGTAGTAGTGCTTCAAATCTTCTCCGTACTCGAGGAACTTCAGCTGGGTTTTCGTGAAAGATATGCACCAGGGCGACCTCTGCTGCACGTTCCTGAAGTAGTACAGTCATTTTGAGAAATATGTCATTTGTTTTATCTTGGCGCATGCTTACCAGGCCTTCTCGTATCTGCACAGATCATAGATGTCACTGATGACGGAAGCGTTTAAATTGTATCTAAAGCCTAATCTTCTGAAGACGTCGTTCGCTGTTTTTTGATACTCGGGGTTCGACAAAAATGATTGGTATTCATTCCTGTAACCTACGTTCTGATCCTGTCGGTTCATCAGATTTTTACAGCTCGTGTCGGGCTAAAACACATTAATCTTTGATTTCGGCTTGTACAAATAGATAGGGGCACTCCCCTTGTATAATGAAGGTGTAACCTTAAGTGGGGGGGGGGGTCTGAAATTATTATATATTTTTTAATAAAAAACAGAAATAAAGTTGTTTATTTCTGTGTTTAGTGACAGTAGACGTGTTTGTGTGACATCATTGTTACATTTCTGTGCGATAGATGAGATTTGACAACAATGTACGACACAGCTCGCAATAGGCCCATTTAGAATATCTTTTTAAATTGATATTCAGAAATATACATCGTGCAAAAAATCTAAGTTTTTATTAACAATTTCTCTCAAGTTGAAAGAAAAGCGCAACAATATCACGAAAACTAAGTGAGATATCAACAATCCAAATATCTCCATTAGAGCGTACTTCAAAAAGTTCGGTTATTTTCTAAACAGACATCGTATAGTTAGTGAACACGAAGCGCGGGAAAACGCGGGGAAGCCATGTTGTGACGTCACACCATTCGTTTCTGGCTGATCCACGTACTTAGCTGGACATCTTTATTTCTTTAATTTTTAAATTTTATTGGTGATGGAAAGTATTAGGAAGTATTACTTTAACAATTATAATTGACGTTAGGCCAAATATTACAATATACTTGAATTTACGACTATTCTAGAGATCGTTAGATGAATAACTAGGTGTAATCAAGGTGGCACCAAGTATGTACAAATTGCTTTAATGGAAAACATCATCACAATAGATAAAAAACAAGTAACCACCTACCTTGGTCAACCTTTCATCGTTGAGAACATTGGCATGGACTCGATACGCTTCGCTACCAAACAAGCCCTCGATATAGGCCTGGTAGGTTTCTTGAGTGCGATCAACGCTCTCGTATTGGAACTAAAAATGACGCTGATGGGTCAGATAACTTTGTTACCTTCGGTAGATCAAATCACTTACGTTGTACGTTTTCTCATCGTATGTGCCTTGGAATATTTGTGGGTACTTTGATTTGTACCTCCTAGCCAATAGCTTGAGGTCTTCCACTCCTTGTCTGGTCAACGAGTCGGCTTTGTCTGTCGCTATCGTGTCGTTCCAACGCCACCTTTAAAACAAATGAAAGCGATTGTAGAAAGATCCAAGTAAAATATAGCGTTTGGTAGTACCTAGTAATTAGGTTATAGTCTTCTATGCAAAGTCTCCCTTTGTCGGGATACGACCTGCGCTCTTCGTAGTTCCTTAAAATTTCAGCGTGTAGCTTGCTGAGACCTCGTAGTTCTTCGATCTTCTGGGCGTTGGGGAGTCTGGTGCCGTGTCTGATGAGGCTCCAGAACTGGATCGGATTGCAACCTAAAAGGTGTCATGGTGCTGTGATAAATTTTACACGCTGTATACAGGAATATATCGGAATAACGAAGTCGAAATTGTATAAGTAGTGACAATCTATTAAAGAAAAGCCAAACGACGAAAACAAAGATGACCACCGGTCGCTGAATTACAAGTGGAAGTGGATCTTATTTGTGGAAGGGCGAAACGGGCGGTGACTATGAGACGCCTTCATTATAGCTATCTTTCTCTATCGCACGGATTTCTATGACTTACTTTATCGCTCTCACGTAACGGTCGATGGACCATGGGGACTTTCCGACCCTGTATAATGTGTTCCATTTAAAAAAAAATGTCTTTAATTTTGTGATTTCCATTATTCAATTGTTGTTTCTAATACTGTTATAAAAATTCATAAAAAAAGCTAAAACTTCTGTATTAAAAACTTTTTTGCAAACTCACAATAAGTTGTCAGATTATAGGTAGTGACTAACCCTGTACAATATCCCATTTTTAATGTTCGTACATGGAGCTATTTTAAGAAACACGACTTCATTTTCACGCATACGTGATGAATTAGATGCATTGGTGCTATAAAATTTCCTTCAAGGACAACTGAAATTGTTTTATTATTTTTTTTTTTAGCTTCGACGTAATCTGTGGAAGCTGGTATGCTTAGTGGATAGCGATGTTTTTGTGCGATTTATAACAATAGAAAGAACAATACCTACAATTCTGTCGATTGTGTTTCAAATTTTATTGTTTGTTTATTGGTTTAGGTTATAGTTTATAAAGATAAATGAAGTTTAGGTCTATGTAGGTCAAATAGGTGAAAATAACGTAGCACTTTTTGCAGAAAATACAGGACTTAAAATATTGATACAAAATTTTAAAGGTCGGAGATTTGGTTGCGAAATATATCGTTTTTTTGTATTTTAAAATGGGGAGGTTCTTTTGCGCACACCAGTGAATTAAGAAAACAATGTTTTTTTTTGTGAAACTGCCTCAAAATATTGTCAAAATTGGCGGACTTGAAACATTTCAAACATTTAAAAAACATTGAAAGATTATTGACATGTTGACACTGACATGTTTAAAATATTTTAAAAAAACATTTAAACATTTGAAACATGTAAAAAAAACATTAAAGAAATTAGATAACGGGCAAAAATATTTTCTGTTAAGGTGAAATGCCTTATTCGTATAAGATATCAAAAAAATATCATTAGGAATCGAAACCACAATTAAAATTAGTTCAGAAAGACATTTCAGATGTATTATTACTTTTTGTCGAAAATACTCTGCTTTGCGCTTACAATTTGCTAAAAATTGTATATTTTTAATTAAATATGCTTATGGAAAATGTACCGATTAACTGGTTGATATTAAATAAGTGATTTTGTGACAAAAATACTAGTAGCAAACGGGCTGTATCATCATATAAAAGACAGTCTGTAGATATATGCTTATATGTTTCCTACAACAATTTACTGTTAATTAATTTTTTATAAACCTTTTTTTATGCAAAAAAACAATTTAGTTTTTTAGTTTTTTGCTTATAAAACTTAAATTAATGAAGCAATCTGAATGCTAGAAGACAATTTGTAGAGAATTGAAATACGATAAATCAAAATTCCATTTAAATACAAAGCTAGGTTAGGTTTTAAGCTTTAAAAATCGACTTTCTAAACCTTTTTTTGTTAATAAGTTTCGGAGAGACAGAAGGTTAAAGTTATGCATTTTTGCCCTTGTCGGGATAAAAAATAGAATTTTGCAAAAACTATTGAGGCCACAGCACCCATCTTTCGCACAGTTTTGAAGACTAATAAAACTCACAACTTTTAGGCATATTTATAAAATTCCAAAAAATAACAACCAAGTGGATAATTGGATAATGGATAATTAAAAAAATGCTGCTTTCCACGTTTTTTTTAAGTGTTTTTTTGCAATAACTTTTAAACCGCCAATTTTAGTCTATCAGGCGGCATTTTGTAGATCTTTTTATTCCGCATATTTGGTCTGTTGAATAAAATCAATAGTTTTTTCAATGTATTGGAAAAAACTGATTTTCGACCCAAATTGTTAAAAAAAACAATGTTTCTAATGAAAAAAATTGTCTCACGAGATGAGACACCTTTTCTACTGCACATTTCAACAATAAAATAGAGGACGTCAATTCATCGATTTTTTTAGTCCATTTTTCTATAGCGACGCGTTGACTATAAAAAAATTAGAAGCAAGAGAAATCGCTGCATATTCGAAGTTGTCTTTGGGGCAGACATTACTTCAATCGAAAGTTCGAAAGGCATGGTTGGAAGTTTCCTTCAGTGGCGAAAAGTACAATGAAGAGTACTGAGGACTCTATTGAGAATAAAATTGAAGTTTCAAACCTCAAAAGTGGTTTCTATTGCTAAATAATTCTTGTACGCTGATTGGAGCTTGAAAAAGTCAAGTTAATAGTCCAATTAAATAAGCCTTTCAATCGAAATTTTGGTCAACTTGCCTGAATTTTTGATATGAGTTAGTTTGAGGTAGGTATATTATAACAATAAGTGACAGTAATTTTTTGTTCAACTCCCGGCCAAGGGTGAAAAAANAAAATACTAGTAGCAAACGGGCTGTATCATCATATAAAAGACAGTCTATAGATATATGCTTATACGTTTCCTACACCAATTTACCATTAATTAATTTTTTTTAAACCTTTTTTATGTAAAAAACATTTTTTTTAGTTTTTTGCTTATAAAACCTAAACTAATGAAGCAATCTGAATGCTATAAGACAATTTGTAGAGAATTGAAATACGAATAAAACGAGAGATTGATCGAACCGATCAGAAAATTAGAAACGAAGAAAACCCGGAAAAATCGGAAAATTTAGCGTTTATTTAAAAAATTCATTACTCCGACATTTTTTAAGTTGTAGAGCTGACCCTATCCACAAAAGTAGTGAATTATAATGTACTTTAAGTTTGCACAAAGCAGGCGCTGTCGGACCATTAGTTTTAGCACAATTGCAATTTGAATTTTTTGGTGCACTATTTTGCAAAACTTCTGAATGCGTTGGAGGTGGTCCGATTTTAATTTTTTAGCCATATTTTAAAAGTAGAAGAAAAAAAAGTAGTAGAAAAAGACTATTTTTTATGTAAAAATCAAAAGGGCCCCTGCCAATAAATGAAAATTCCATTTAAATACAAAGCTATGTTTTAAGCTTTAAAAATCGACTTTCTAAACCCTTTTTTGTTAATAACTTTCGGAGAGATAGAAGGTTAAAGTTATGCATTTTTGCCCTTGGGATAAAAAATAGAATTTTGCAAAAACTATTGAGACCACAGAGCCCATCTTTCGCACAGTTTTGAAGACTAATCAAACTCACAACTTTTAGGCATATTTATAAAATTCCAAGAAATAAAAACCACGTTTTGGATAATTAAAAAAATGCTGTTTTTCCTCGTTTTTTTAAGTGTTTTTTTTACAACTTTTAAACCGCCAATTTTAGTCTGTCAGGCGACATCTTTTTATTGTACATATTTCGTCTGTTGGACACTTTTCTCTAAAATCAATAGCTTTTTCAATGTATTGGAAAAAACTGATTTTCGACCCAAATTGTTAAAAAAAAACAATGTTTCTAATGAAAAAAATTGACTCACGAGATGAGACACCTTTTCTACTGCACATTTCAACAATAAAATAGTGGACGTCAATTCATCGATTTTTTAGTCCATTTTTCTATAGCGACGCGTTGACTATAAAAAAATTAGAAGCAAGAGAAATCGCTGCATATTCGAAGTTGTCTTTGGGGTAGACATTACTTCAATCCAAAGGCATGGTTGGATGTTTCCTTCAGTGGAGAAAAGTACACTGAAGAGTACTGAAGACTCTATTGAGAATAAAATTGAAGTTTCAAACCTCAAAAGTGGTTTCCATTGCTAAATAATTCTTGTACGCTGATTGGAGCTTGAAAAAGTTAATAGTCCAATTAAATAAGCCTTTAAATCGAAATTTTGGACAACTTGCCTGAATTTTTGATATGAGTTAGTTTGAGGTAGGTATATTATAACAATAAGTGACAGTAATTTTTTGTTCAACTCCCGGCCAAGGGTGAAAAAAGATAAAGCAAAGGGGTTTTTCAAGATAACTCAAATCGGGTTAGGGCTAGAACAATAAGTTTTGTATAAAAATTGTAAAGCATACGATTCTACATAAAAATGGCATCTTGACTTTTTCTTGTACTATTCAAATTAACAGAGTTAGGGAGGCTAGAAGTTAAGGGAAGATTTCAGAAATTTAAAAAATCATAACGAGCAGAAAAACAAATGAATTTTGTAATTTTTTTTTCAATCTACTCTAAAAAATGTAAAGAGACACGTATTTTTTTATCGGCGGAAAAACATATTTACGGGGTGAAATACACCCTCAAAGTTCGCCCCCCAAAACAGTTTTTTTTAAATTTCTGGGGTTCAAAATGGAAATTACTTATGATAAAAAACAAATATTTCGCAAGTGACTCCGTGTTTGGGGGTTGCTACCCTTATTTTTTAATTCAGAAAAACTTTTTTATTTATAAAAAAATCATATTTACTGAAAAGGACTTAAAAATATGATTTAGGTAAACAAATTTACAAAATTAAATTGACCTGTTTCGGGGTTTTCGTTAAAATCTCTGTTGAGGGGGGTGAACAACAAATTTGAAATTGTTATAACTTTCTTATTAAAAATTAAAAAATATATCTATTTCTCTGGAAAGAAAGGTTACATTTTTTAGAGTAGATCGAAAAAAAAAAATTACAAAATTCATTCATTTTTCTGCTTATGATTTTTTAAAATTTCTGAAATCTTCCCTTAACTTCTAGCCTCCCTAACTCTGTTAATTTTAACAATACAAGAAAAAGTCAAGAGGCCATTTTTATGTAGAATTGTATGCTTTACAATTTTTATACGATACTATTTTTTCTAGTCCTTACCCGTTTTGAAAAACCCCTTTGCTTTATCTTTTTTCACCCTTGGCTGGGGGTTGAACAAAAAATTACTGTCACTTAGTTATAACATACCGCAAACTAACTCATATAAAAAATTCAGGCAAGTTGACTAAAATTTCGATTTAAAGGCTTATTTAATTGGACTATTAAGCCGTCATTTTAAATTAAACCGAACATAACAATTTACAAAAATTTGTATTTACGAAACTTCTCAAGCACCTATTCCATTTAAATGAGATTACTTTTAAGCGAAAACGTAACGATTATAAATTCGTAGCAAGATCTGTCCCTAAACTTTATAATTTTCACCTGGTATCTCATGTTGGGAACCTGATCTTCGGTTCAAGGTATCGTAGGCCGTTTTGGTACCAAAGTATACGTAAGGTTCCTCGTCCCTGGTGTAGCAGTACTCTTCGCAGCAGTCTTCCCTGTTATTCCCAATTTGCTGATTCTGCCAGTCATTTTGGCCACTCGCGGAAAGCACGAAAAACAGCACCAGCGCTGCCACGTTTGGGTAGCGGAATTGCCACATTTTAGCTGAAAGAGAAAATTGTTTGTAAAAAATCGGTATGCATGAAGGTATACGGGGTGTTCAAAATATAGCTCTCTTAATTCTACGAGTATAGATCGTGAGATTGAACCCATTATTTCCAGGGTTGTTCCACAAGGATGGGCATTCGGGCTGTTTCTTTTTGTCATGCTCATAGATGACTTTATTTATTCAGGGGTGTAACAAAAGTAAGGTTACAAACTTCGCCAGCAGATAGAAAATTAGTAGAGGTACCTACTTCATATACAATTTTTGCCTAAATTGAAATTTAAAAAAATATATCACATTTTATTTAATATTTGTCGACTATTTCGAGTTAATTTTCTGAAATTTTATGTCTGGAGGTTTTTTGGGATGAGAAATTTCAATTTATTGACGAATTCGTTCCATAAGCGACCATTAGGACTGCCAAAACTTTTTTGTGCCACCATGAATTTTATTTTGCGCTGGAAAAATCTTTCTCCCCAACTTTTCTGCTTAAAAAAGGCATAACTAACTAACTAATATTTCTAAAGCCAACCGTTTTCAACAAAACGGCATTTAAATTTGTCAATGCATCAAAAAAATTGTTTGAAGGTTATTTTCAATTCTACTGAGAAGCATTGAAAAACATATCTTTTAAGACAGCTCAATAATAGTTTTTTTTTAGATTTTTAGGTAGTTTAAATCAGTTACATTGTTTAGATTGTGTTAGATTGATATATTGCTTTTAGAAAATATATTTTTTGATCTGTCAATTCTGTTTGCAATAAAATTGTTAAATGAACGAAATTTAAAATTGTAATTGCACTGTTTTCTTTAAAGGCATATTTCTAATAAACGATTGGTTCTAATTCCGTTTATCAGTGTTGAAAATAACTTTTAAACAAATTTATATGCCTTTTTGTTGAAAACGGTTGGTTTTTATGGTACATGGGTATAGTGCAATCAATGGAATATTTAACCAAAAACAATTTAAGGTCGTCCGTAATTGACATCAAAGTATTCATTTAGATCATTAATAAAAGTAACAAACAAGAGTGGACCCAGAATTGACCCTTGTTGAACCCTGAAGATTAGAGAAATTTATCTGATTGAAAACCATTTTTTTTTTACGATTGTGAATATTGTAAACAAATATATATGTAGTTTTTCTCAATTCGTCTCTTTTTTTCTATATTTCTTAACATACTTTGATGATAAAAAAATATTTTCAATTTAAAAAAATGAATAAAAGATGCAAAATTTATTCCTCAAATGATTTTTAGTAAAAGTGATCACAATGGAAGAAAGATCGCAGCCATTTGGACTTCTAGAATTTATTTGGGATACTTTGAATTTAAAAAAACCGAAAATATCTTCAGTCTGTTCATTATTTGTAAAATTGTCCCAAGTTTAGCGAAAATCCTTAAATAAGCAATTTTTATCTTTTTTTTAATTAGATTTCTTGAATTGAAAAAGTTTTTTGCATCAAATAACGATAAGAACGTCTTATAGAAGACACTTGGAAGTTTTCAAAATCTTGCTTTAATTTTTTCTACGACCATTAGTTTCCGAATATTAAAGATAAAAAGTAATTTTTCGAAAATCACCTAGAAGTGTAGGATATTTTGTATCCCTTAATTTTTCTGACCAGTTTATAAGTAAATCGAGTACCACCAATTCCCATGACTGCGAATGTCCCAATTCCAAACTGTTTACTTGTGGTTACGAACACAACGATTCCAACCACAAATTTACTCTAAATATCTTATCTCCCGTTCAAATAATCCTTATTCCTCGGATAAAACACCCAAGCATTCATTCCACCAGTATCAGTGAGGTAGTAAGACTCGTGACACCGATTTGTTTTGTTTGGAAAGCGAGACGACACCACACAGAGAGAGACCGAACCACCGAACGGAAAGCAAAAATAGAAACGTTAAGTAACACGACTTACGGTACTACCACAGTCGAGCAGGTTTCTTAGCAAATATTCGGTTACGCCCATTTTCAAAGTAGTTTACCAGTGTAGAATCCTCAGAGCACGTGCTTCTACCAGCGACGAGGTATAGTGTGATATTACTCTCAAGGTAAGCCATGGAATGGTCCCGATTGTGTTTTTTTCGTGGCGATGTTGTTATGTTTATTTATATCCGTCTGTCGGTGTTTACCATCGCGCAATACTTATTTCGGATTGCCTACGTCCAAGTTTATTAATTCTCCGTGTGATCGCGTAGATATTAAGTTTGTTGTGAGGCGATACGCCTCATTACACGTAATTATATGACCTAATTTCTGCCAGGATGCTAATTAGACCACAATTTGTAGAGCCATTAACGTTTTTTGTATGAGGTGTTCCTCAAGGTTACGACAGCGGCCTGTTTATGTTCTTTTTACCCTTTTGGGCTCTACTGAGCCTTAAAATCGCTCTGTTATTTGTATTTGTCTCTTAGTATCCAAGAGCGTGCTTGATTGTCGTTATAACAACACTCTGTAGATTCATCAAACACCTAAAAGTTTTATCTACATCTCGTAAACATCAATTAAAGTGTTTCGTAATATGTTTTATATGTGTCATCTTTCTTAATATGGTTACGCTTTGCCAAGTAGAATATAATTAAACATTAACCTTGTTTGTTGCCTTTTCTGAAGCGTATGTTTCGGTTTGCTATGGTACATAACCTCTAAAGAGGTATTCCGCACGGTTGTGATACAGGCCTTCTTATGCATTTGTTTATAATGTGGTAGTCATGCATTTGTTATACAAGTAGGAGATGGGAATATAAATATTCTCGGTACAATTTTTATTGTAAATCGCTTGACACTGTATTCTGGTGTTTAAAATGTAAATAAGATAAGAATGTGATGTCATCTATCTCATTTACAGAAATCTATACGGTATTTATAGCCAGAATCCAGTAAAAATACATCTTTGGCAGAACTGATAATAATATTTTGTATTTTATAATCAGATATGCGATAAACAGTTTGACTATTCATAAAGATCAAGGAAATAGTGTTTTTAGCTAGCATATTTTAATTGTTTACGTATGAAACTTTGATTACTGTTTTTCCCTGATCTTACCACAAGATATTAAATGAAAATTATGTGGTTATCTGTGCATTTTATTCACAGAATACTTGTTTCTGTTCCAAACGTTGAATCAGTCTACAAATTCACGTAAAACCTATAACTGACTGAAATATTTTGAATTATGCATAACTAAATATTGTAAATTGACAATTAAAATTTGTACGTAATTATTTGTCAGAATGTATTGTTAATATTCAGTTTCATACAAATTTTCTAAACTTTGGAACTTTTCAATGTTCACTAACCATTAAATACTAGAGTTTTTAATATTAATTTTCCATGGATTTCATTATCAGACACAATACCTTCCAATTATAAAAGATTATAAAAAGTTATTACTTCAAGATAAATTGTTTTCTTAGAAGTTACCCGGCTGTAAATTTGTGTAATCTAGATTACCTATCAGTTTCAAATTTGGCTTGTGATGTCATCATTGGGTATTTCTGGGGTTTGCAACTTACGTATATATTTTTTTTGTCAACATTCGCCATTTCTTTTAAAATTTTTTAACAGCATCACCACTATTTATTTACTTTGACATAGTTAGTAGGCCGGTTCACTTGTTTTCTAGGCCACCTAGCATTTGACACTTCCAAGCAAATGTTTAGGTAGACATTACAGTTCAAAAGTAACTTTCACATTGTATACGGGTTTCACAAGATAAACAAATAAAAAAGATCGGGATTTGTGTATTTCTTTCTCTATTAGCAACGTTTAAAGAGTTAAATAAAAAGTTAGGAAATATTAATAAGTGTGACATTTTTCTCAAGAGAAATTTATCAGTATTTGTTTTCAATGTTTATTAATAATAGCTTTCACAATTGTGTGAAGCGGGTGTTTTAATTTTACGAATTATCGTGTTGTAACTCAGTCGACTGCGAACTAATGAAACAAGTGCAGGTCTACGCCTACCTCGAAATTTTACCGCATCCGGAGGAATATTTTTAGAATAGGATCCTAGTAGGTTAAATTTTCAAAACAATCGGAAGTTGATGTTAGGTATCAGTTGTTATCCTTAGACGTGAATTATGAAATATTTATGAGATACAATATCTAATGCACATACCACCTACACTGGGTGTGATTCACGGCAAAACCGTGACTAAAAAAATGATTTGTGAGAATGATTTACTCAATAACATTTTCGATAGTAAACAAATTACAATTTACACATTTCTGTGTCATTATCACAAGGCTGAACGGAAATCATTTCAACAGTGACTCACTCGAATGCTGCAAGGGTTCGTCATTTGTCTGACCTGCCTACTAAGATAAAAAAACTGATGAATAGTTAGTACCTACATTTCGACCATAATCATGTTACATTTGTTAAATCTCTTACCATTTTGTTCATTTAGAGATTTTGGTTTTCAAAATTAGTTAACCCCAACGAAATCACAATAACTAATATTCAGATCTAGTGTTAGCAGAGATAAAACCGATTTTTCTTTTTCAGATGGCGAACGTATTTAATTCTATCATTTGGTTATTGCTCTTAATTTTTATTTCTTTCTTTGTGGCTGGCTTTTGTGCAGGATTCTACATTATCGTCCACCCCCTCAGTGTGTGTCTACCGCCATTAACGGTAAGATATAAAAATCATGTTGTAATTGATATTTGATGGTGATTGATCCCAGTTCATGCGAAAAATATTAGACCAGGAAAATTAGCGAAAAAAAAAAGAGAAACTCGAAAAAATTTCTATCCGCGATATTATTGTAAAATTGTTTAAAGGAACATAATACAAGACATCTCTCATTTCGTGAGTCAAAAACTTTTATTATCTAACTTTTCTATTTAAACAAATAAGTGAGGAAAACAGTTTTTTCACTTTGCAGGGAAAACCATCAATTTTAGCGAAAAGTAAATTAAAAAAAATTCAGTATAAGATCCATTTTTTCTGAGGGTCAGGGCTATTCTACGAATTCGTAA